AGCCACTGGGTCCCGGATTTGAACCACAGACGACTACATGGGAGTCTAGCAACGTAACCACTATGCCATCCACTGGTTTCCCCATCAACCTCTTTTGAGTCCAGAAGATGTCCAAAAGAATCAGGCTACAGACAAATATGAACAATTTAAAGAAAAGTGCTACTGGTCGGTCTTAGGAATAAAAGTTCTATAGGCCAAGATTTGTTTTTTAATCAAGGTATCGATATGGGGGAAAACTGGTTTTAAAGACCATAGATTGCTTTCCATTATTTCCAAGCAAAGGCTGCTTTTATGGGGCTTATTGACTTGCTACATATCAGAATTCAAACTCCTTATGGAGATTTATGTTATCGTAAGTAAATATGATGTTCTTATTTCATTTCTTTGGGTCATAGGAAAAGTCATGTCACATTTTTGCATAGAAAAAGGCGACCTAATATACTGTCCTTAATATTCAATCGTGGCCTCAGAGTAGGGACCTTAGGGGTAAAATACTAGAAGCTCAAGTCAGTGCCTTAGGTATCACTAGGGGCATGGGTGGGTGAGAAGAAGGCATTAGGCAGGCTTCCAGAAACCTCCAAACCAGAGCAACTTGGCTCTTCAATTTTATATATTAGACTTCTAAATAAGATGTCATTTCAGAAAAAGAGTCTGCTAATCTAACTCTTTAGTATTACACTTGTCTTGAGTCTTCTATTTTGAATAATTGAGTGAGGACTTTGCATGTCACCAGAGCTGACAGTACCACCTTTCTATCAAGATTCTGAAAATAATTTCTGAGATCAACAAAACAAACAAAAGCCCAGATGGTTGCTCTGGTAGATACTTATTACCCCTCCCTGAAGACAGGGGCAAATGCTAACCCTTTTTTCCTCATAATCTTATGTCCCATAGTAAACACACATTTGGTGCTCAAGCATATTCTCTGAATCTCTTATTAGACTTTCCTTCTCATTATATTTACCAGCTGAGCAAGCAATTCTGTGAAACAAAGACCTTTGTTTGTGTATACATGCAATGAGAATGTTGCACTAGCTCCATGGCTTAATGGTTTAAGGGAGCCTGATCCCATATGACTACAGTTTGAATCTCAGCTCCAGTGGCTTGAAAAAACATGCCAGGTATGTGTGCATGCAGACCAAAATCCTGACAGGATAAAGAAATGGAGAAGAGATCACACCACGACCACACCCCACTGGAAGGTGCTTTGTGTCTCTCCAGCCAGCACACAAATAATAATAAAAAAAAGATGTAATGAGAATGGTTTAATCTTAAATTAAGACTCTGAAGAAATGATATAGTAATAAAATAAATAATGTAATAATAAGGAAGAATAAAGAATAAGGAGGATAGAACTAGTGGCCAGGTGGTAGCTCAGCAGTAACACAACTGGACCCACATTGGAAAGGTTCTGAGTTTGCATCCCAGGATTTCCCTGAGCATACCAGGCATGCTTACATGCCTGTGATCCAGGCTGGCTGAGAATAGGGGTAGTTCATGGCCTGGGAACCTTTTTGGAGATGCCTGTCGCTGTGTCTTTCTCTCATGGAAAAAGTAAATAATTTAAAAAATGAAAAAAGAAAAGACTAAAGCATTCTGATTTGAGGTTTTACACAAACACATTAAATTTTGGTTTTAAATTTCCAGAGGGCATGTGTACCCATCAGAGACAAAGACATCCTTTCCAATGGGGGATGATCATGCTGCCAACCATTCCTCCATTTCTCTATCCTGTCCAGATTCTGGGCACATGCCAGTGTTTTTCAATCAACCAGACAATCAACCAGAGCCTAGATTCAAACTCTGGCCAGCTATGTGGGATCTGGCTGTCTTACGTTCTAAGCCACAAGGCCAGCCTAACACATTAGATTTTGTGTGTGTGGGGGGGGGGGTGGGGGGACTAGAGTCATGTAGGTAGAAGGTGTGTGCAGATATTTACCCTAAAAGCACAATTTCTTCTGGACTTAAAAATGCCATTATTCTTCCTACCACTGCTACTGTAACTACTGCATTATGACTACTACGGCTTTCTCTTCTTTACCATGTGCGTGTTCTCCCAAAATTTAAGTGAAATTACACCACTCATTTGCTAAAATCTCTCAAATGATTCTCCATCTTGCTTAGCAAAAGCCAAAGTACTTTCTTTAGAGGTTTTTGCCTTAGAGTGCTTGTACTCACAGGACAGTGGGGGAAGAGGGCAGAGACAGAGATGGTGAGAAGAAAAGTGAGAAATCACCCCCCAGGGGGGATGGCCACACGGCAATTCCTTCTCCTCCATTCTCCTCCCAGGATCTTGGGCATGCACACACATGCGCCCAGTGTGATTTTCAAGCCACCAGGTCTGAGACTCAAACGACATGGTAGCCCATGTGGGAGTGATATAATGGCTGCGCCATCTGCTGGCCCCAAGCCAAAGTACTTTTGATAGCACACAAGGTCCGACTTGATTAGTACACTGCACCCTTAGCCCTGATCCAGCTCATGTATTTTTCTGACTTGACTTTTCTCTTTATTCACTCTACTCCAGCCATAACCTTCTGTCTTCCATGGCATCATGGCCTGCAGCTCCTACCTTGGGGCTTTTGGACTTGCCCTTACCTCCACCTGAAACAATTTTCTCCCAAATATCCACAGCCTTGGTCACTTAGTTCTTTCAGGTCTCTGCTGAAATGCCACCTTCCCAGAGGCCTTCTCTAACCACCTCACTTAAAGGAACACTCCATGAACATTTCCCTAACACTCATACTCTGCTTTTTCTCTATGGCAGTTATGCTACTGAGGTATTTCTGTTTGGGGGCTTTATTTATTTTTTTTTTTGAGAAGTTTTTGCTATAGGGTGTGTGCACTCACCAGAAAGACAGAGACAGACAGAAAGCGAGAAATCACCCCCCAAGGGGGATGGCCACGCCACAATCCCTTCTCCTCCATTCTCTTCTCGGGATCTTGGGCACACGTGCACATGCGCCTGGCATGAGTTTAAGCCACCGGGTCCTGAACTTGAACTGTGGTCGGTTACATGGGAGTCCAGCAACATAGCCATTACGCTAACTGCTGGTCCCTGGGGGCTTTATTTTTGTGCATTGTTGAATCCCTGTCACTAAAAACAGTGTGCAGTACAAAATAAGGACTTAAATGCTTGTTGCCTTGTGTTTTCATCCTAATTTTTTTTTGAGAGAGTTTTTCTATAGGGCACATGTGCTTGCCAGAGAGACAAGAGAGAAAGAGACACCCCCAACGGTGTCTATATGAAGGAAGGTAAAACAGGGACTTAAGACTTCTAGAAATGTGTATTTCCCCACCTTTCATGGATCTGCACTAGAGGATCTTAACAAGTATTCAATAGTTGCACTTTAGGCCTATATTCTGGTCTACTAGTATCTGAATAAGACAAAGGAAATCCAGTCAATACAATCACGTCTACTGCATGTAGGGACTCAACTGTCACCAAGGAAGTCCTTCCTTCCACATCTTATGTCAAGATTCTCTTTTATCACAAAAAGATCAGGGACCCCTGGAATACAACAGATCTTCAAAAAGTACATGAAAAATGTGTATTATGAAAAACTATGCATGTATTTAAAAATCTTTGCACCAAAATAAACTCACACTTTAATTCTATTTTTCTATGGACTTTTTAAAGTCCTCTCACATTGCTATATCTTGCAGAGTAGGTACCTAGGCTGACTATAGTTCAGTTTTGGAGGCGGCCCACACTAAACCTGAGTTGCAGATGATAATGAGAATAGAAAGCCTTCTCAATCAGAGTTGAATCTTGTAGAAGCTTTTATTTCAGTGATCAAAAGAATGCAGTAAGTGGACTCTGTACTGATGAACATTAGGCATGCACCTGTATTAGAAACTGCTGTTAGTTTTTGACTGGCCTAAGTCTATTAGTTATTAGGCACATCTTTGAATTTTTTTGTACCCTGATATACAGGGCAAATTAACTTCTTCCTTATAATAGTCCAGTAATGAGAATTATATTCACTGTCTAGACTCCTTTCTAAGTAAAGGCCTCTAAACTCTCAGGCTGCCTATACTACCTTGAGACCATACTTTAATATAGATATTTAAGTAAATCGTAGTATAGAGAAAGATAATCTGGAAAGCTGAAGTGTACTGTATGAACACTCCACAGATTTTTGTTTCCAGCAATGATAGTCAAACACTAAATAAGGAGACCCACATTTAAGTACCAAGTTACTTTTCCCACATTGTTGCAAAGATACAAAGAGTTCCCCAGTAATCTGAAATGAATCCACACAAATGGGAAATTTAACCTATGTGGTCCCACTATCAAATTAGAGAAAGCAGTTCCACTATCAAAACCACAGAAAGCAGTTAATGGGACTTTGAGAAAAAGCATAATCCCATAGAGAACAATATGCTTCTAATAGTTTTCCATTTATCTTTCATTATTTTCACAAGATTAGCATTAAAAAACACAACCAAATACACACATGACCCTCAAAACCCACACGCGAAAAATTGGTCTTTGTTCATTCTCTGATGACAGGATGTCCTAAGAGTGACAAATGCTGGGAGCTAATCCTCCCATAGCTGTTTCTTCAACCATCCCATCGACAGTGCCTCATTTCTTGAACTACCTTCCTTCTCCAGAGAGGTAATGCTGAAATCAGTCAGAAAGGCTTTCTGAGAAGACTGGCTTGGATTTCTGGGTCTGTTCCAGTCGATTCAAGATGAATTGGCTTGTATCAATGAAGCGCTCAACGCAGTTCACAAAACAGGCCTCAGCCCGACTGTCCAACTTTGGCCCAGGCTTGTCCATGCACTTTTCCTGCTCAGGACAAGATACAGAATCACACACAGAACTTGAAGGAAAAAATACAGGGGGTGGGGAGTTATAGTAACTTCTTGTTGCTTAGAGAAAAAAAAATCTAAAAATAGCATCTGATGATGTTAATAGTTCACACTTGGCAGTTAACAATGTTGAGCAATTTTTCTACACCTGTCCATTAAATTCTCACAGCAACCCTATGGAATAGATAGTATCGGGAATCCATATTTTACAGAAAGGAAAACTGGCACAGAGATACTTTGCCCAAAGTCTCAGAGCAAGAAAATGGTGGAGCTGAGGTATCATAGAGCAAGAAATTTGGTAAAATACAACTGAAGTAATTTTCCAGATTTTGGTTGTAATGCCACAATGCTGCTTGTATTTAATGCCTTTAACTTAATTGCCAAAAATGGTGAAAGGATAAATCATTACAGCAAGATACCCTGGAACCTACCAATAAAAGGGGGAGGGTAAATAAAATCTATGACTTTGGATTCAGTAACTTTGTCTACCTAAGTCAGAGGTTCTTGAATCCTCTCACAATGGGAAATTGCATGAACTTTCCTAAAAGTCCTACAAGGTTACAGGTTAAGGAATTCCTTCACCACACCCCCCTCCTGGCCCAAATTTAACTAATCCAAATCACATACTGAAAGAGAATCAAAGCACTCTAGTCCAATGCAGACTAGAATTAAGTTAAGCATTTGGTAAGGGTCATAGTCCAATGACACCATTAAGTTTATGGGCAAGGGACTATGGAAACCAATGACTAATTCAAGTTAAGTGGTTCAAATGAATTTCGTTCATCATTCTCTGCTGTGTACACAAGCTTCAGATTCTCCAATGCCAAGGAATAGTAACTTCTTGTTGCTAGAGAAAAAAAAATCTAAATCTAAAAATCTAATCTTGGCTTTTGAATTTTGTGAATTTTGTACGATGACGGAGAGGGCAGGGGAAGCACGCTGTCCTTGGCAAAGGTTGATTTCAACCTGCGAATGCCTTCCATCCTATGCCAAAGTCTCCTCACAGGCCACACTCAATTCCTCAACCTTCAGACCCGAGGTGGCTTGGTATTACACAATAGTCCAACAAGAAGGCAAATAAGTGTGCATGTTGGAAGAGATTACGCCACTTTCATAGTGGACTGGAGCCACTCGTTTCTCACTGGGGAGGGTTAGAGCAACTGGGTAATCAGGTAAATCTCAAGTAGTTCAGGGATATCACATTCACAGACTTTCTGGGACTTGGGCTCCCTCAAATTAAACCTCAGTATTGAGGGCTCTCATCAGTCTCTGTGACCAGCATTAGGCAGTTACAACCTCAGCTGCCTAAAAAGTACTGGGTGGGACAGCAGCTTCCCACTCTTCTGCACCAACAAAGCCAGAGTCCAGAGTGACAGTCCCCTGGGAAGTGGAGTCGCCCGTCTCCCTTCCGGCTTGGACTGGGAAACCTGAGAACACAAGGGATACTGCTGGGTCTCTTCCTTCCCGAATCCCCAAAGTCAGAGAGAGTACCGCAGGGCAAAAACACAGGGAAAGTAGTTACGCACTGTGCAGGTCCCAGCCCCAGGATCCTCACCCAACAAAGTTCAGTCATCTGGTGCACCAGCTGCTGGAAGCGCTGCTTCTGAGTCTCCACCTCGATGAAATGCTGCAGCTGCGGGGCCCCG